CCTCTAGTGCAAAAATAAATGGCTATTTTTACAGATTATTGTGGTGAAAACGTGACTTGCGAACGCTTGCATTAAGTGGCCCTTCAAGTAGCTGATGCAGGTTTTGCAAGCATCGTTAAGCCGGCGCCTCCTCACTGTTAGCAGTTTCACCTACCTGCGCTGGTGTGATCATTATCTTACCCATCCATAGTCCTTTCAAGTGGGAATTGATTCTTCCTTTCCAGTGGAGACGAATAAACTTTTTTCCTCTACGCCCGCTATGGGTTAAGCCAGCAAAAGGAGTTTTCACTCTCCCAATTCCTCCAACTCCTTTCTATAGCGGTCTGGAACCGGAACCTTTGACCTCACCGTTTGTGCACAACGTGTTGGATTTCCTGCCGGCGCTGCAGGAGAAGGAGAAACCGCCTCTCAATCTGGTGGGCAATGTGAATGGTAAAATTGCAGTCATTGTGGATGATATTATTGACGATGTGGATGACTACGTTACAGCTGCGGAACTTCTCCACTCCAGAGGTGCCTATAAGGTTAGGTTTCACCTCTATTTTTCATATAATTTTGCATTAATAGGAGTTCTCTGGGAAATTTTTGATGAGGGATAGTAATTATCGTCTGATGTTGTCAGGGCATCTTATTTTGCTATGAAAACTGCATTTTCTTTTCGTTGTAGTTCTTTGAACTCTTGATTGACGTCTGTATTTTTTGCTATTCTTTTGAAGAGACGAATTCGTGTCATGAACGGTCATCTAATGCAGTGCTGTTATTCATTATTTCCAATCGGCCCTATTGCATCAGCATTCTGGAATTTGGTCGTGGATAGTTTTGGTTGAATTTGTCTATTTACTTATGTAGTTTAAGTAACATTATTTTTTGGCGCAATATTTTGAGCGAACAATTTGTTGCTTCGGGAAGAGCTACTCATTCTTCTCAGCTAAACACCAGTAGACGCTGTACTTCACATTTCCGTGATGTTTTGGGGTCGTTTTCTCTGCATTTTGCATGCCACTAATCATTTCGAAGTAGTACGAT